AGATGGTTAAATTGTTATTCTACCATGACTTCAGTAAACACTGGATTGTGATTGGTTAATTAAAGTCATTCAGAGGTATATAATCACGTTATACAGGTCTCTGTTTTCCGTGCGCAATCATACATGGTTTACGGTAATGCACTATTTTTGTCTGCCCACTAACATGGCGGACACCGAACAACCTACCGATGCATCGATAAATTACGGCGATTTTACTGTCGGAAATTACACATATGTCTTTAAAGATGGATTTAGCGATGACGGGCTCGACTCACTACTTGCGTAAATCACAGCAATAGGTGTTTATACATACAAAAGTACTTCGAAAACATGGAAACAAATATTCAGTCGAACAAGATCAAAACATCGTCTGCTTTCCGAATAAAAATTCAGCAAAAACAAATATGTTTACGTTGATTCTATGTTATGTCAGAATAGATCCAGCAATAGACTGCTACAAAATTTCCGTGTTAAATTTATTATCAGCTTTCGTCAACGATATCGCCACTGATCTTGATCCGGTAACGGAGGATGCATTAACATCGAACGCCGAAGAAATTTTAGATTCTAATGCCTTCCGTCCACATAAATAAACAGTTGGGTTATCAATTCAAACAAAATGATATTTTGAAATTTGTACTGTTTCAAATTTAGCGATAGTAAAACACAATTAGATCTACATAATCTGCAAACCGTTCTGTTTAGCCCAACATATTTTTTTTCTAAATGTATAATATCGTTGAAAAAGTTATTTAGCTTAGTCATGATCCCTCTTATCCATTACACTGCTTGATCTAAAGTAGTCTATTAAAGTATAAATAATTACCTTACCGTGTTTATGCCAGAGGTACACCCTCGTGTCCTGATCCATCCTTTCGGAAATATCACCACAAATCTGGCTCTTTGTCAACAGACTCGCGAACATGCCAGCCAATCCGATTCAATTTGAATTCACTACACTTTGAAGCCACTAGGTCACAAAACACTTTCCAAAATGTAGAAAATAATATCCGTAGAATCGAATTGAGCACAAAGTACACACATGAGTGTGTAAGAGTCACCAGAGCTGTCGTACGCAGACGTAGAGGTGAGTGAAATCGTCAAGTTGACAGGGCGCAAAATTCAACAGTATCTAAATTCGGTACAACACGGACTTCTCGTTACAGCAAAAGCGCCCCTACTCTTAACTTTTGTACCAGTACCAGTAATTAGATATCAAAGACTATCTCAGTCATACAATCAGGTTAACCTTGCGCAAACTGTCAGTGGCTCTCCTGTCGCATCTTTCCAAATGTAAACAATGACTTCGAGAAAAGGTCAAGGCCATGAGGTTGCTGCCACTATTCTGGTGGGGAAAGGGTCTACGGTGGAATTTTCAAATGTGAACCAAGCTTTTGAAACTTATTTGATATATGTTTTCCAACTTATCAGTTAATGATTGGTGATTGATGCATTGAAAAAACAAAACGTGATTTGTTATTACTGAATCTGGAGTTTGTTAGTCATTGACGGTTTGCCACCAAACACCCCGTTTCGGGCGATACCACTTGAGATTGGAATGCGAGGCCGCTTCACGTATTGACTCGTAACCAAAGAAAGAGCTCCACCTGAAATTGTTCATAAAATTGTCATAGAATGGAGATAAACCTACTGTGTTAGAAAATCAGAGGTAATAACGAAATTATAATAGCTCTAATTGTTCATTTAAAACCTCACGCTACGCGTTCGGTTTTAAATGAAATTTAGAGCTATTATAATTTCGTTATATACCTCTGATTTTCCCACACAGTAGGTTTATCTCCTAATTATTTCATTGCTGAGATCTGTGTGATGTACTCGATACACTGACAGTGCCATAATCAGTTCCATTAGGCTACACCGCCGTTTCAAAACATGGGTATACAGAATGTCAAGTCACAAGAATAAAAATGCGAAATTTCTCAGTTCAATATCGTGTATGGCCGCCCCGCGCATTCACCACTGCCAAACACCGTCTCCCCATCGACTGCCTGATGCTTGTGAACACGTGGTTGGGGATTCTGCGCCATTGCTCTTGCAAGGCAGCGCCAAGTTCCTGCAAATTCTGAGGTTGGTTCCTAAGACCACGAAGCCTTCTCCCAAGTGCATCCCAAACGTGCTCTATTGGATTAAGGTCAGGGGACCTCGATGGCCAGTCCATGACGTTGATTCCAGCGTTTTGAAGGAAATTTCGTGTCACTATCGCGGTATGCGGCCGAGCATTATCATGCTGGAACTGTAGACCTGGGCCATGAGCCGCCATGAAAGGAACGAGTTCAGGGGTGAGCACCTGGTCGCGGTAAGCAGCAGCTGTGAGGTTTCCACGGATGACCAGAAGTCGGGAACGGTTGTTCCCACAGAAAGCACCCCACACCATGCAACTTCTGCCCCCGAATCTGTCGACTTCCTGTACACAACATTGGGCATACCGTTCACGACGTCGTCTCCAGACTCTATGCCTGCACATTTGCCAATTGTGGCATTTCAAGTACCGTTAGAACTGTGATTTAAAAGTGTTTTTTCAATTCTTGAGGCCAATGCAAACACGTGCATATGAAGAAAACTTCGATGCGAAGATACCGTGATCGACTGCACGTGCAAAACCTGATTTGGCACTTACGTCATTTGCACGACGAATGGATAGGTTTGAGTGGATTTTGCTAACGTTTTTTCTAGAGTCGAAAGATAGGGATCCCATTTCGGATACATAGATGTATCATCAGAGAAAAATTATTCATTATTTTTCAAATTACATTTTGTGAAGTTTCTTGTTTGAATCAGTATATATATTTGCGAAAGTGATGAAAGCGTTACAAGCACAGGCCAGATATTATTCGTTAGCTAGTAGATAGAGCTGGGCCTCAGTAATATATATGACCCAGATGATTTGTCTAAGATAAATGAATGACTATTGAAAACTTTGACTGTTTTATTCAGAATGCTTATAATATTACAGGTATATTATATCGCTCAGTACCTGGTTAGTTAGAAAAGGGTGAGAAAGGTACTAAATATTTTTATAACATTTTCTTATAACATTGAAAGTGAGTGAGTGAGTGAGGTAATATTCAGCGTCACATCTGCAATATTTCAGCCATATCGTGACGAGAACAATTTTATTTATATCAATATGAAAATCAATAAATTTAGAACGTAAAACCTGTCATCGAAAGACAGTAAAAATACTAGAGTATCACAGATATACACTTAAAACTAGTCTGCTGTCGTAAAATGAAATCACTACAGACAGTACAACATGAAAACGGGCTATAGATCACCAACAACTGATAACATTGAAAAGAGAGATTCTGCTAAAGAGGCCATTTGAAAGATTGCAACTGATGATGGTACACTATTTTACGACGAATTTGACATTCTTAAACAGATTTAACACAGTTTATGTAAAAATTATATACTTCTGAAAAACGATGAAGCTGATGATAACCTTATTTGGGGGATTTTGTTATACCTGTAACTGTTGAACATGAAAAGCAAGACGCCTTATATGAAATGATGGATAACATAACATAACCTGGCTGTGACTGCTTCTAGTCAGAGTTTTATGCAACATTTCGTAAGTATCTAAACAGTCATCATAAGATTGACGTAAATTGGTCGTTTGAAACGGGTGTATTGTCGAGGAATTATTACTTATTGGTAGCTGTAGCTACAGATCTGTTTCTTTGAAGAGTGTGGACCATATCCTAAAAGTTAAGTTGCTGGTATATTGGGCCAAATAATATATAATACCCAAACCGGATATATTAAAATCAGATATATCTGAGATAATTCATGGATAATACTTGACATAATACATACTTATGAGGATGAATAACGGGGTATTTTCTATTCATAGAACTTGAAAGTAAAGCATTTGCCTCTTTGAATTTGGGTAAGTGCTTGAGTTACTGATAGTTGTTGAATAAATAAATACAAATCTTCGTGTTGATCTTCTGTTAAGAGAGGAGTAAGGAAGGTTTGCCCGTTCTCACCATACATACATATCAGACAATACACTAAATTCTTGATGCAAGATAGTTTTGATCTATGAAAATTAAATATTTGGAAGAACGTCAAAGCTGCTCACATAAATTATCAAGCACTTATGATACATTCTAACAAAAATGGTAATTAAATATATGACTAAAAGGTGTAATGGATATCTAAATTCATGTGGAATTAGAAGTCTGAAAATACTACTAAATTGCATTGGATATAATGTTTGTCATTAAATCGCCGAATTAGGAAATGTGATCCACTGTCAATTTGCCAACGTTTTACTGAGGCCTTAAATGTTATATCCTTGATCGAATAGCTTCTCAGCAAGAGCTGTTTTGAAATGTTCAAAGAACATGCTCAAGTTGTGAAATGTAACAACCAAAGGCTGGAGCAAAATATAGAGGGCAAGGGAAACACACTCACCTTATATACTCTATGAATGCAATTAAATTCCCGTTGAATGAAGAAATGTCTGTTGATACGTCGGTATCAAAAGGTTGGTTTATAATCACAGTACTGATAATCTGTTACGAATATTGCTCGATAGACGTCTTACTTTCAATATTTTGTATTTGTTTTCGTATATCTAAAAGAAAAGCGCTCGCAACTCCATGTTTTATCTAGGGTAAAAGGCGGTCGTTTCTGCTGTTACTGCCTTGTAAAGCAAGACTCGGGTGGAGACATATTATTTTACCATAAGGAGTGAAAGGTAAGGTTGTTTTATGTTTCTTTTATGCCTAATACGTAAGCAAATGTGTTACTGTCTCAACTATATTTATGTTTTATAGATTCACTACCCATCATGAAGTTTTGCACAGGTCTTACCCATCTCATTACTCACATTACAGGAGTTAAGGATAGCAAGAGGATTATGGGTTGCTATAGAGCGTCAGCTATGTTCTACAACAGAATCCAAAGATGGTATGGTGATCGTTTCAACAGCTACGGGCAGTTTGTTGGTCACCGTGCGGTTGTTTTCATAGTTATACCTCTGTTGGTCTTTGTTCTCTTTTTGGAACGGGATCCTGAAGACGGAGACGGAGAAGGATTTGGAGCGCCAGTACACACCCATTAATAGCCAGGCTGCTCAGGACAGAGACAAGATGAAGGCCAGCTTCCCAGACTGGACAGGAACAAACTACAACACATACAGTCTAAACACCGAGGACAGGTACGGTGTGATCATCGCCATCTCAGATCGAAACATCTTCTCCAATACCAGCATTGGTGAGATGAGGAACTTGGTAGATACGATTAAACAGTTTTTACAGTGGAATTTCAAGGCAAGACTCTCCACTATACAGATGTATGTGCACGGGCATCAAACTTGTGTGTCATTAGCGGTGACTTCCTCTTACAAGATGACTTCCTGTCCTCACTTGCGCAAGGGAGCGTCACCTACCCGCTATAGAATGACGTCGAGATCTCCTTCTTTGTGGCAGGTGTGAATGTCTCCGGTGAGGTGCTCGAGGCAGCGTCAGTGATGAAACTCACCTTCCATCTGAGGCAGTACTATGATACGATGAAAGAATATGCGCTCCTGTGGGAAGACACCTTCATATCGAACATGTCATCGTTGTCTTCGACATACTTCTCGATTAGTGTGTCCTTTGCCACATCACAGTCACTTGGAGATGAACTGAATGAGAATACCAACGGAGATGTCTTTTGGTTTTCTACTGTCCTTCACATTGCTTATAGCGTATGCCAGTTTCGTCTCAGGTGGAGACTGTGTGTCCTCAAGAAGTCACGTGGCTAGGGCTGGGGTCATGGCTGCTGGTTTGGGAATACTTGGATCGATTGGCCTTATGTGTCTCTGCGGCGTCAAATGTGTCAGCATTGTTGGGATAATGCCATTTCTTGTTCTGTGAGAGTATGACATTGTCTTGAAATAACATAATACGATTATCAAAAAGTAGTTGCTAAAGAATGATTATCCAGTTTGTTTACGTATAGTGTCCAGTCTAATGAAATTATAAATCTGCTTTCAGCTGTTGGTGTAGATGACATGTTTCCGATGGTATCAGCTTGGGCTGACACCAACCAGTATGCCGATGACTGGGATATTCCAAAACGGCTGGGTCACACTTTCCGATTGGCAGGTGTAGGGATAACTATCACGTCTCTCACTGATCTTGTCGCCTTCCTGGTTGGATATTCATCAGTGTTTCTGAGTGTAAAGAACTTCTGTCTCTATACAGGCAGGATCATAATTACAAAGTTAACAGTAATGTAAAAAATATATTCTGTGCACTTGTGTCATTAGTGCTGATACATCTGATGATAAAATGGTCCCAATTTTCCTTATCCTTGCATATGCATTCAACATTTGTTTATATATCAATATCCCATCCCCTGGTATTAAAACGTGAATATATATTTATTATTCCCAAGTTTCATATTTACAGGTACGACCATCATATTTTCATACATTGCTCAAGTGACGTTCTTGGCTGGATGTTTTGTAATACATGGACGCCGTGTTGAGAACTCTCGCCATTGTTTGACATGTCAACCAGTTCTTACAGAAGAAGCACTAAAACAGAAATGCGGCTTGTTTCGTTGCTGTTGTTCAGGAAAACCGTCAAGAGAAAGACAAGACTCTTTGCTTGAAAGATTGCCACCACTTATTTTGAATAAATGCCTTATAACCACGAGTGGAAAAGTAGTAACAATACTGATATTCTTAACATATCTCGGTGTTAGTTTGTGGGGAGTGACCAAACTAGAACAAGGACTCTTTCTAGAAAACCTCGTACCGCCAACGTCCTACTACTCTAATTACAGTTTAAACAATTGGAACAAGTTTTATGGAACACGAATTCCAGTTTCATTTGTTTTAAAAAAGGAAACCGATTATTTTGATGAAAATGTGAGACAAAACTTTAAAATGCTGTTTCAGAAGATGGGTAGTGATGAACACATGAACAATGCAACACAGATTTGTGGACTTCTTGATCATGTGAACTCTCAGTATCTCAATAGGTCATCTTTGTCTGATTTTGTAGCCAATTTCAAGTCATTCCTCACTGTCAATCTGTATGCTAAGAACGACGTAGTGTTTAGTGAATCCGACAACAATATCACTGCTTTAAGGTGTCACATGATTTCAATGAATGTCCCCGACTCGATGGATCAAGCCAATCTTATGCTCCGTATGCGAAATCTGGCAGCTGAATCTCCACTACTAGTATTCCCTTACCACTCAACATTCATTTTCTTTGAACAGTTTGTCTCAGTGCTGCCTACTGTTTTACAGACGTTGGGCATTGCAGTCGTGGTCATGGTTTTACTCACTATGCTTTTCCTTTAATTGTCGGCTTAGTATGCATCAACATAATGTTGATTTTACTAGGAATCTTTGGTTTCATGCCTCTGTGGGACTTGAGACGGCTTCTCTGTAGATTTCACAGTCCATGTGTCGACAGCGTACATGTTGGCTGAGGGAGAAACAAGAGATGAAAGAGTTAGACAGGCTATCATACATGCGGCGGGGCCCATCTTTAATGGAGGATTGTCAACATTTATTGGCATACTAACATTGATTAGATCGCAATCGTATGTGTTTCAATCCTTTTTTAAAATTATGATATTTGTTATAATCTTTGTTATGGGGAATGCTGTTTTACTTATGCCAGTTATGTTATCACTGTTTGGGCCTATGCCTAAAGGGGGCAATTTAAGCCATCGTGATGTAAGTGAACAAAAGGACAGGAATATATGTACCACTGAAGATAAAACAGTACCTGGAAGTGCTTCTGTGAGCACAATTTCATTATCTGAAGTAAACTAGCTTCAACAACACCTTTCGTGTTTTAAAACGTAGGATACGTTTCAACAAACATGACACCGATTGTGAACATTATCATAGACTATTGAATAGATCATGATGCAATGGATTATGTCGCTAAATGAAAATGAATACAAACAATTCCATTTTTATATGTAATAGTTTATGTTTTGTTTGCCTGTACATATTGCTTATAGTAATCCATTTGAACAACATTTATGTTTGAAGAAGATTCTGTTTTTTTGCAATTGTGATTTTCAAAAACCCTGCAAAACAACAAAACAAAAACTTTCCATTTTCTCAAAACAACTTTGCCAAAGGTTGATTGCAAGATATGGTTATATAATGAGCATGTGTTTATGAATCACTATGAAACATTGATGAAATCAAGTTCTTGACTTTAACAATGTATTTAAAGATTTATGTAAATTAAAAGGAATAAATTTATTAGAATAATGTTTTGTCGTCAGGATGCGTCGAAACGTCTTTTTCATCAACCTTTACTTGAAGTAGTCGCTGTTGTTTTTCAATTATGATTTTGAAAAATAAAATGAAACCATGTTTCTCCTTAGTCAGCAATTTCAGGGTTTATCCATTTAGTGTTCATTTATTTTTACCCTGACGTTATTGAACATAACCATGCGGGTGGTAGGTTTCTCGAAAACAAGATCTCCGGACAAATACAACTGACTGTATGTATAAGCACAGTTAGCCAGCACTTCCAAACAAATATGCTGAAACCAGACAGACAGACAGACAGAGTTTATTTGCATGAAGGCCATCCCTAGTTTTACAGAAAAAGGTTTACAAGTAAGATGATAAAGAAAGTTATTTCATAACGGATAACAAACAATTAATGTTACTGTTAAGATATAATTCAGGAACCTGGCATTATTTAACAGGACATGTTGACATATTCTTTGTAAAATATAGTAATCATCATTTGCAGTTCTGGGAATTAAATATTTCCATTCACGATCGTAGATCACACAGCGGTAAATAACATGTATTTCGTCTTCAGTTTCATTACAATGCTTACTCAAAACAGTTTGATCATTACAGCTTCATAAGCCTCTGCGGACCAACTGGACACTGAGGGTGTTATGACCAATTCTTAATTTAGCAGTCGTTTATACTCACAAATATTACTATTTAAAAGATACTGTTCAGAAATTAAATTGAATTTATGAGACAAAGTGAATTCATGTGATGTGATGTGATCTCGCGAAGTGCACAGTCAAAGACCCTTTGACTGAACATATAAACGAATAGATTAGTATCACCTACATCTTGTGCAAACCAGACGTAGCCAAAACCATAAAGAAATGTTATACATAAGTTGCCCAATTAGGCGTTTTCTGTCGGCCGTCAACAGTAACATTATAACATTGAAATGGAAATGGTTTCATGTACATTTGAAGCCATTACTTCATACATGAAATATGTTATGCCATGACACTCTACTACATTCTCCAAAGGCCGCCACAGGCTGTCCTATACCCTGTATATAACAAATATTTCCAAAAGTTTCGGTGAACAATGTCAAACTTACTTTTTAATTCATTACTTCTTATTAAAGCAGGAACTTGCCATATTGAGCAATGGCTGATGGAATAGCCATTGTTGGCATTGGGTGCCGGTTTCCTGGCGCCACCTGCCTGGAGGAATTTTGGGATATCCTTGCAAAGGGAGAGAACCATGTGGTTGACATCCCCCCTGAGAGATGGAACATGGATGCCTTCTATGACTCTGATGTCAATGCTGTAGGGAAGAGCTATGCTACGAAAGCAGGGCTATTAAAGAAGTGAGTACAAAAGAATTATATGTCAGTCATCCCCAAAACGCTTGCATAAAATACTTAGAGAGACGTTTATTAATTCAATACAAAGTAATGCCCAGGTGAAGTTTTGTATGAGTTTGTACTAACATAAACATTGTGCCCTGTACGAATATACAAATAATATAGAACTGATATATAATCCTTCAGCTTTGATCACTTCGACAACAAACTTTTTAAAATCAACGAAACCGAGGCTGCCCAGATGGACCCCCAGCAGCGCCAGGTGTTGGAGTGCACGTACATGGCTCTGGAGGACGCCGGCATCACCAGACAACAAATAGCAGGACAGAAAGTGGGAGTCTACATAGGTTTGTTCGTAGCAAAGAGTTCGGAATTTAGATTTTGGTCGTGTGTTGTTTAGTACTCATATTCAATATATATTCTTTACAAAAAGTTAAGCAACTCAAAGTTTTAGTCTCATTACATTTTCATTTATTGACTGTCGAATTAGGGGACGATAAGCCTGTGAGTGAAGGCATGAATTTGATTGGATAAACCAATAAACACCACTCAACAACAATGTCAAGTATTAAGATTATAATGACGTTGTCATTCATTAAGTTTTATAAGTCATTCGAAACAGTCATCTTTGTGATAGTGATATGCTTAAATGTTCTTTGTATTGCATAAGTATACATCTAAAAAAGACACACACGGGCCAGAAATAAGATGCATTAAACGTATTTAAGTGTACATAGGTCGCTTAAGCTTGAACATAGATAAAGGAAATTCGGCACAGGGGGCGTTCAGGTCAGTACCTAGCAGCCGTCACTGTTCGACACCGCTTTGGAAGGGATTACACAATTCGTCGGATTTTGCTTGGGGAATTCTTCTGAGTATCTGAGGACGATGGTGACGTTTACGGACGCGTCGATCAAGTTCGTCCTATAGATGCTCGGTCGGGTTCAGATCCGGCGATTTGGAAGGCCAGGGAAGATTAGTGACGTTTGCATTGGCCAGATACGCACCTGTTACACGAGCTGTGTGGGGTCGAGCATTGTCGTGTTAAAACAGCTCCCTCTGGCGGTCAAAAAGTGGGAGGAGGTGAAGTCGCAAGATTTGGTCGATGTTACGATTTGCTGAATGCCATGAACCACCACAGCTCTGATCCACCCGTGTAGTGCATGGCACCCCACACCATAATGCTATCTCCACCAAATCTGTTCACCTGTCGAATGCAGTCCACCGCCAAACGTTCGCGTCGGTTCGATAGACACGTTGTCTCGTCGCAGGAAGAAACGCGATTCATCGCTGAACTCAAGGCGTCACCACTTCCCCAGATTCCATGACTGTACCATGTTGCACCATAGGACACGTTGTAAGTGTAGTCGTGTCAGGACAGGTCCATATTTTTGTCGATATGCCCGAATTCCCACTTCTCTCAGACGATTTCTGATGGTTTGGTCGCAAATTCTTCAAAGACCAGGCACCTGTCTTGCAGTGGCCGTAGCAAATCGGTGACGTAGGTGAAACACCCGGATGAATGTTTTCATATTTAAAGACAAACGTTTACAAACCATTTTGGGATGCGTTTGCGCGCAATGCACAACAACCACGGCATGATTAACGAGATTCAAACATAGGAATTGTGTTAATGACGATTGCTGTAAACAATATATGGAAATGAACTTCTGAAAAGGCCCGTGCGTTTCAGGGTTTTTTAAGGGTGTATAATCATATGTAAAACCTATATGTTCTAAACAGTAAAAATAAATTATTAAAGGTTCCATGACGGTGGATTATGGGGACTTGATCTCTACCAAATCACAAGACGTCACCAACCACACTGTGACAGGCCAGGCCAGGTCTATAATATCCAACAGGGTGTCCTACGTGTTCAACCTAACAGGACCTTCCATGACCATAGACACAGCGTGTTCCTCATCCATCGTGGCATTACACCAGGCAGGACTTGCACTCAGGGCAGGTGGGTGAAGATTCACATGACGAGCATTCAGAGTAGATGGGAATACCAGATAATTAAAGCTAATCAGAGGAGGTGGGTAAAGCATAACATCACGGGTACTCAATGCAGCTTGGTACAAAATATCATGACTTGAATTCAGAGTAGTACTGTAGTCAGCTCCTGCCATGAAACAGAATATTATGTGGCATTGCACGAACCAACAAAGGCAGTCGAACTATTTCAGTGACTCAAACTAAGGTGAGTATATATCTCCAAGTGAGATAGGGTATGTGATATCCAGTCTCCTAAGGATCACATATGTGAGGGAAAGAATCAGTCAACATGTAATGAGCTGTTTTCATTTATCCTCCTTTACATTTCAGGGTCTCGATATTAGAAACGCTGACCACTGTTCATCACTAGTCTCGCACCTTATGTTGCCTGACAAGTGCATGTGTATATATGTGTTTCTTTCTTAACCTTTGTTTATGTTTATAACTTACAGGTGACTGTTCTATTGCAATTTGCGGAGGTGTGAACATGTTAATTCACCCAGCATATTTTATCAAGTTAAGCAAAGCTCAGATGTTGTCTCCCACTGGACAGTGCCACGCCTTCTCAGCAAATGCAGATGGTTACACCAGAGGAGAGGGATGTGGGGTTATCATCGTCAAACTCCTAAGTCAGGTATGACACTTGTATAGGCATTCCCGATTAATAACCTACATGAGGCCGTAACGGATCTGTTTGACATAACCATGAAACCACCATGTCAATCCTCAATCCTCAAAGTAAAGCAAAAACATTAATCCCGTTAATTATATATTTCAGGCTTTGCATGATGGTGACAATATTTGGGGAACTATTGTCACGGGGTTGAATCAAGATGGCCGCCAGGTTACACCCATCACAGCACCATCAGGGAAACAACAGCAGGAACTGCTGAATGACATCTACACACGGCATGGGATCGACCCGACTGAAGTAGACTATATTGAAGCTCATGGTACGTATGAAGTTTTCGTCTTTTCCCGAGGTATGGGGCCCTAGTGAATACCAAGGTTATATTTGGCCTTCAGTTATTTACGAGTTCGAATGGCAGGATCACTGATTTGTTTCATCCATTTCCCAGATACGTAGATGATGCCAATCACTTGATTGTCTAATAAGGTTATCTTTAAAGTCACATCAGCATTATTGCAGATATATAGTGACTTATCTAATAAGGACTCGATTATTTACAGACCACTGTGACATTACTAGAATATTGCTGACGGTGGCAATGGAGCCTTATCGGTTTCTCAGCGATATGTAAGTTTCAGTTTTCCGTAAATTTACCAAACAAAACGTTAAGGAGACTGAGTGGAATCTTAAGTTTCCATATTCTTTCATTTTGGTTTCCGTTTTCCTGAAATTAATTTATTTTATGTGACACTATGTTTTATTTGAATTCTGGTCTACACAAACACTGAGATCACTTAACCGAAACCTATGTAATACATAGGCAGTTTAACGTAGGTTAATATAGGTTTCTGGATTCATGGATATATAAATATATGGAGTCAAATTTATTTCTTCTATGATCGTTTCATTGGAGTTCTCACTAATGGAAATCATCAGTGATCGTTTCCAGTTGCTTTATGGAATGGAAACTAACAATGGTAGTTTACTGTAAATTTCCATTTCTGAAAACTAACCTTGTTGGTTGCTGGCAGTTTCCAGTCGCTGAAACTAACCTTGTTGGTTGCTGGCAGTTTCCAGTCAGTCGCTGAAACTAACCTTGTTGGTTGCTGGCAATTTCCAGTCGCTGAAACTAACCTTGATTCAGCAACAGAAAACTGTCTGAAACCAACAATCAATGTTTCTGTGAGCGGAAACCTACATGATTCTGGCATTACCCAGTTTCATGTAGGTTTCCGGAAATCTGGAATCCTTGTTATTTTTTCTGTGTAAACTATTAGAAAAAAATATACTATTGTATCTCACAAAAATCTTGCATGCTTCGCAGCAGTGACCCAAAATATACCTTGTGTTCCAAAACAAAGAAGGTTTTCTTAAATAGTACTTTCCTCCTTCATTGTGGAATTCCTAATGAACCATCAGAAAGGCTCCAATGGTTTGATCATTTTTTATTTCTTATTCAGTATTGAGATATCAGCACGTATAAACAAACATAACTGACATATTTGTTCTTGCATTAGCTTAAAGTGGCTTATGTATATGTTTTTATGACATATCTGATGTCGAAAGTTGTCAACTCAAAACATTGTCACTTCAGGTACTGGAACCAAAAGAGGTGATCCAGTAGAAGCTTCAGCTCTGGGAACCTTCTTTGAGAAATATCCACGCCAGCGCCACATCGGGTCAGTGAAGACCAACATCGGCCATCTAGAAGCAGCTGCAGGTGTTGCCGGACTCATCAAGGTCCTGTTGATGATGAAACACAGCACCATTGTGCCATCCCTACACTTTGACAAGCCCAATGAAGCAATAGACTTTGACAGATTTCAGTTTGTAGTACCAACAAAAAATACTGACTGGAAACGTCATAAAAAGATTGCATGTATCAACTCATTTGGCTTTGGGGGTAGCAACAGCCATGCTGTGTTAACATCATTTACAATGGAAACACCAGTTATAAGTGACATTGCTCTACCAGTTTGTTTTTCAGGCTCCAGTGAGAAAACGTTAAACAAGTCAATAGCAAAATTCACTGAAAGTGGTAACAGTTCTTCTTTCAGTGATGTTGCTTACACTTCATGTATGGCAAGAGAACATTTTCCGTTAAGAAAAGCTTTCTTTGCAAACAACCATTCTATTCTGATATCTCAAATACAAGAAGAGTTACAAAAGAGAAACCAGCCATCTTTTTCGGAAAAAGAATACGTTGTTTTTGTTTTTTGTGGCATGGGAACAGCCTGGGAAGGTATGTGCAATGATCTCATCTCCAACAATGATCAGTTTAAGGAAAACATTTTTGAAATTGACAAATCCCTCTCCAGGTTTGTTCAATGGTCCCTGATGAAGCGGCTCCTTGAATGTGATGATGTGAACGATCCTCTGTTCGGTCCAATAGCCATTTTTGCTTGTCAGGTGTCTCTCGCTCACCTGTGGGAAACCTGGGGGGTGAAGCCCGCAGCTGTTGTAGGTCAGTCAGTTGGGGAGGTGGCTGCAGCACATGTTGCAGGAATCCTGTCCTTGGATGAAGCTGTGAGGGTCATCTACCACAGGACTCGGATCCTTGCTGAAGCCACCGGCGGAAAGATGATGCTTGTCCGGAATGTTGAGACGGAACAAGTAAAGACAGTCTGTAGGAAAATCAGACTAAGGTAGATGTAGCTCTTTATTACAGCCCAGTGTCGTGCACTATCAGTGGGGATGAGAGGTCCGTTCAGTTAGTCAAAGAGGATTTGAAGCATTCTTCAGATAGTAATGCACTGTTTCATGAGCTCCCTGTTACAAGTGCGTTCCACAGTCACTTTATGGACTCAGCAAGAGTTCAGCTTGATGAAATCTTATCCGATATCAAGACATCTAAGATGACAAGCAGATTTGTCTCGACAGTTGATCCTGATATGGATGAAAGTACAGTTATGTCAAAGATCTATTGGGGCCTAAATGTAAGAAGTCCTGTTAGATTTTGTGATGCAATCAAAAGCGCCACACAAACATCCAAAATGAACATTTTTGTTGAAATAGGCCCACGGACTGTACTAAAATCACATCTACGGGACATTTTCAGAGATTCTACCCCCTCTGTCACATCCATTCCTTCTCTTCACCCCAAAGCGAGTTATGGTGACATTCTGCAGTCACTCCTCTTGTTGTATGACTATGGAGTTAACGTCAAATGGGACACTTTCTTTCCTGATAAGATGCAAAAAACAAGCTATCCATCTTATGTCTTCAATTCTAAGCCCCTGTTACTGGTGTCTGAAAGTAAACAACAGATGCTCAAGGGTCGGAAGGAAACTGAAGGAGATCACTTGTTTATCAGAGGCAACACAGAGTCAGCAAGCTTAGTCATTGACCCTCAGAGATTCAAGAGTGTTTTTGAACACACAGTGAAAGGAACAATCATTCTACCAGGTGCCGTCTATGCTGAGGCAGCACTTACTTTAGCCAGAATGATTGACATGTACCACCTATGTACAATCAGTGTTTCTGTGGCCTTCAAAAGCCCAGTCAATCTGAAATCTGGAAAAGTGACAAACCTGGATATAAAACAATCTCACAGTGAAGTTGACTCCAGCATTTTGAGTACATTTGTTTTGAAGAATGGAAGGACAGTCCACGCAGAAGCAATAATAAGGCAAACACCTGCGGATGAATCTCCAGAGAGAGTTGACCTTGGGCCAATCAAAGAAAGATGTAAACACTACTTAACTGGAGAGGAAGTGTATCAACATTTGGCAGCCAATGGTTTCAACTACGGTGAAATGATGTCCGTTATTTCAGGTAGCCAAACAGCTGGAAATGAAAGCCTCACTGTACTTGAAGTTGGATCTAAGCTCCAGAGAGAAGCAGATCACACAATTCTTCACCCTGCAATACTAGATGGCATGCTACAGACGCCTGCAACTGTCACGCAAGTGATCAAAGATATGCTTCCATACTCTGTAGAACATTTGATAGTCAAGAGGAAGACAGACAGAAAGATGTTTGTGCATTTGAAAGTGTTGCATGAAAGTGAATGGTATGTGTGCTATAGCCTGTCACTGCTGACAACCGAAGGGTATGTCATTGCACACGTTGGAAAATTTACATTGAAAGCCATGGGTATAGAGTCCTTTGATGTCAGGAGTGTTGCATACACAATTGAAACAGAAGAAATACATCCTGAGCATGACACTGACAGCATAACAAACCTTGTTATGTTTAGTGATGAGATGTCTATGTCAAAGACCCCAAACTATCCATGGACAGTTCACCATATGTCCATTGTACATGGCGATAGCTATGTTCCAGACCTTCGAGAGTCATCTGGAATAGTAGTAATGTTTCAATCCAAGCCTCACTTTGTTGACAATGGAATGGAAATGGAGAAAGAATTGGAGGAGAAGATCATGCCTTTAAGATCTCTTATACTTAAAATGTCACAGCATGCCATCAAGACACCCTTGCTCATTGTCACAATGGCAACACCATTAGACTACCAAAGCCCAGATAGAAAATCTCATGCCCTTGCTTGCATTCACGAAAGTATACGGGCATATATCAGATGTATTAGAAGGGAATTCACAAGGCTAAAAGTAAAATCACTGGATCTCAATGTTGGTAACATGGACCAATACGACGCAACTATCATAATGTCTGAAATCTCGCAAGTCTTGAATGTCACAGGTCATGCTGAATTCGAAAGCCTTCATAGACGATTGTATGGACAGACGTTTCAAAAGGAACCCGACTCAACACCGCCATTTAGACTGGACAGAAAGATGGCCAGTCTGGACACTGTCCTCTATTCAACGTCTTCTGAAGAAATATCACAGCCTTTCTTTACAATGTCAAGAAACATGCAAGAAAGGGGCAAAGATGACATTTTGCTTTCTGCACAGTGTGTAGCAGTTCACTCTAAATTCCTGTCTGAACAAGTTCTGTATCCTCTTGACAATGGAGGCTACATGGGAACCAGCAAGGGAAATCCTGTAGTCACATTTGAATCAACTGGCTTTGCACACGGACATAGCAGAAGAAAGATGTACATTACCTGCTATCCACAACAGGTGAGATATGAACACTATGTCCCAATGAAATTTGCACTGAATGTCAAACACTTAGGAGGTCATTTTGAGACAGGATTTATGCTGAAGCTGTACTGTCTATGGCGAATGTGTGGTGAGTGCAGCATGAAAGATGTGGTTATACTCTACTCACACCAGACAAGGAAATATGCAGAAGTGATGGAAATCATATTGCTCTCAAAACCAACCAGGACAGTTTCTTTACTGACTCCAGAAGAAATACCAAGCCACACAGGACATCATGTTCTCATATCAACTACTCAAATTACAACAGAACTAGCACAACAGATTGTCCTTGCATGGGACTGTCTTGAACAGCTTATATCCTTAGAGAAGCTGATATCACTCAAAGTGATAAATTTGCTAAAGTCTGTAAAGCCAAGACTGAATATAGCAATTGTCAGGACCCAAGAGTTCCTAGCCTTCTGTCAAATGGATGAACATATTCCAAAGCTATACACATGGATAAAGAAAAATAAACAGAATATCACAAAGATATGCATTTCATTCAGGGACTGCAACGACATTGCCTTGAATCACCACCAGAGTGCTCCTATTAACATCGCAGAAATCCTAGAAACATGGGAGTTCAACATGCAAGAGAACAACAGCGTCACCACAACACAGTTAAAGGTACCTGAGATTCTCTTGTTTGACAGAAGGGGAATGTACCTTGTTGTGGGTGGAATGACAGGACTAGGATGGGAATGTGTCTTGTATCTGGCATCCAAAGGTGCTGGGTGCATTACTATTATCAGCAGACGTAATCCAGATCCAAACAAACAAGATGAAATGAAGCATGTGTCCGAGATGTATGGATGCATTGTTACATCTCAGTCAGCTGATGTTCAAGATATCAAGGAAATAGGATCAGCTTTGAAGAAGCTAGGAACCCGTTTCCCTGCCTATATTTTGAAAGGAGTATTCTTTGGAGCTGCTGTTCTAAAGGATGGAATTCTTTTAGAAATGACGAGAGACAAGTTCAAGACAGCTTCTTCTCCCAAGGTTGCTGGATCCTGGAATCTGCATATCCTGACAGAGCATCTCCCACTGGACTATTTTGTGCTGTTTTCATCAGTAGTATCTGTCTTTGGAAATGCTGGACAGACAAACTATGGTGCTGGGAATGGATTCATGGATGCCCTAGCTCATGTCAGGAGGCAAAATGGCAAGTGTGGTCAGACTGTAAACTGGGGTCCTCTGAATATGGGCATGCTGCAAGAAAGACATATAAAACAAATGGAATCGTTTGGATACGTTCTGATACACAAGAGAAGTATACCTGACTGCCTCACACACATCCTTATGTTGAATAAGCCACAGATCATTATGTGCGGTCTCCAGTTGGTAAAATTTGGACAAAGCCTCCAAAGAGAGAACAATGTGGAACTGGAGTCTCGATTTAGATCGGTCTTGTCTCCATTTAAGGCAGCAATGTCTTCAGCTTCACCAAGTAATGTGGAAACATTTAACTTTGAGGAGATGAAGAAAATGTCAAAGGAAAATGTTCTACCCAAACTTGTGAAGTACGTGAAGGCTGTGGTTATTGATGTAGCTATGCTTGACGAATCCTCTCTAGATGTGGAGCAGGGAACCAGAGATCAGGGAGTTGACTCAATGAATTTCATGCAAATTACTGGGAAAATCATGGATGACACACACGTTCAGCTATCATCAACAAAATTGAATGTTGAAAACGCATCGGTGTCTCAAATCTCAAAGTACATTTATGATGACTGGATGATCAAAAGGAATGGTGATCAGAAACATGAGCAGTCTCTTCCAGTCAAAGATTCATCAGAATCTGACGCAGTTCTTCTCCCAGGAGAACAGTTTGTTTTTGACAACTACATGAGAGATCCAAATCATATATCACATTTAATGATCGTGGAACTGGAATTGCTTGATGTTTCTGAACCAAAGTCTATCAAGAAGATCCTCCACGAAAACGTCAGACGACACCCGACGTGTAGGACAGCTTTTCATGTTGTGAATGGAGAAGCAAGAAAATCAATACTGAGTGCCGGGGCTGATATTGACTACAGGATAGGTGATCTGACAAACCGTCCTGACGTATCACGTCTCACAGAGGAGCGTTTTTATCTTGATCGCCAAGGACCAATACGATTTGTCTTTGTGAAAGGAAATCCCCCACATCTCATCATTGTCTTTCATAGAATTGGCTTTGACCACCAGGCAATTACAATCTTCATAAACGACTTCATGAATATAGGTCAAGCTTTCTCACAGGGACAGTCTCTGGGCGATGTACAAAGTTCTCCAGATATGTCCATTGGTCCAGAAATAAGGACAATCCTTCAACCAAGATATGAACACATTAAGGAATTTTGGAAAAAACACTTGAAACAGTTCCATACATTTCCTTTGCAGACAGGGCCGTGTCATCCACACCACAAATGGACAGTATAAGTGTACAGAAAATTGTATCAGCTGATCTGTTCCAGAAGTTGAAATCTTTCACTGACAAAGAAGGGTTGTCACGGTTCAAGTGCCTTGTAGGGCTCGTTCAATTGCTGTGGTCAACCAGAGCAAATGGTCAGAAATTTGCCATGTCAACATACGTTGATCAAAGAATCTTTAGCCCAAAGTTAACAACATCTGTTGGAAGAGGTGTCAATTTTACACCACTGTCCTGTGAAGTAACAGATGATGGCAAATTGACAGTTGTTACATTTCTCAGAGAGAACAGTGCCATGCTTGAAAAGTGCATAGAGAATGGAATATTTCCTTTTGGGGATTTGATGCATTTCCTTCCAGAGGATGACTACAACAATGTAATGACGTCTTTTGTCACATTTGGGAGTGATGAGATGAGGAACATGGGTGAAGGAAACGATATGCGTGGTGACTTTGGTGCCACTGTTCGGGTGAAAGCATTGTTTGGCCCTAACACAGAACTTTATTTTGACATCCTCAACAGGAAAATGTCCAAGACAATAGCCATTGTCTTGTATGCCCGGAAAGATTGTTTCACAGAGAAACGCATCCATATGATCCTCAACGCATTTTTGGGCTTACTTGAGGACACTGTAGCAAATCCACAGATTACAGTCCGGACACTACACTCTAAACCATACATCACACAACTTCAAGACAAGAAAACACGTTTCTGACTGAGTACTTCAATCAATATGTGAAGTTGTAGCATATACCATAGGCATTGACTACATTGTTAGTTCATTGTTTTCTCTCACATCAATAATGCTGGCATTTACTTTGTAAAAGAATAGCGATGCTGCTTCAAATGCATGGGTATATTTTACTACAATGTTGAAAGAGAGTGGATAGAAAGCATCAAACAGCCTCAGATGGGTAAGACCCACTAAAGAAAACGCTTCATATACGCTGAAAGTGTATATACTTCGTGTTCGTTAATGTCATGGAATTAATATCAAGTGAGGTAAGAAACTCACATATGTACTTTTTCCTATGTATTTTTGTAATAGGTGTTCAGCTGGATCTGTACTATGACATGAATATTATTGTACACATTTGTATTATAGCTATGTTATGTATCACGATTGTAGCCTTGAACAAACAAACATACATGCATGCTCACGCACGCAGGCACATACATGCATGCATGCATGCATGCATACATACATACATACATACATACATACATACATACATACATACATACATACATACATACATACATACATACATACATACATACATACATACATACATACATACATACATACATACATGTTGCAGTGATACGTTATATATGTTACCCGTTGCATTGGTATGTTATAAAGCTCCCCGTCTAGTGTCTTGAATATTATACAGGACACTCTTATTTGCACATTGTCTTCTCGTGTACATGATATATTTTGAACACAAAATGTTTGTATGTCCTACATCAGATGGAGATTTTTGTAAACACAAGAATGTTCTTATTTTATGACTATTTTCATATACTTCTACTTACATGTGGAAGGTGGTGTCTCAAATCTAAACATATACATAACCTTCTCGTCAATGTTTATGATATCCTGACAGAGCAGAGATATGGAGTGTAATGTGTCATTTTGAAATTGGTGGTATCACAAGTGGTATCACAAGCAGACGAAAGTCACTTTGGAAGTATATTGACTTTGTGTGCATTCACTAACGTAGAAACTCAGGTATGCTATGTCAACCAAGTCTAAGATAATAACTGAATTGAACTGTGGATACTGCTCACACTTGCAATGGAGCTATACTTTATATCTTGGTTTAGTTAGTCAAACATATACATTATGGTTTCAAACATGCAACGGGTGAATGGCAAACTTGCACTTTCAGTGTCCTGAATGTTACATTGAACACTGTTATTTGTTCATTGACTTGTTGTGTTGATCTATGTATAATTCTTTCTTTATTGAATTACTGTTTTCTTGTTGACACAAACCATCAACCCCTGTATACGTACCCCCATATTTGTATACAGTGTATTCTAGTACATTTGATGACGTAGATTACTTTTACAACCAGAATGTTCATATTTTATGATATTATTGATATTTTGTAACATATGTTATATTTGGGATTACACTTTCTTAGTAAAGTACAGATTCTAGTACTTAATCGCCAGCACACAAAATTAGCCGATAATTTTCATGTTTGTAAGATGGGATTTATGGTGTTAGCACTCTATGTACAGTTCATGAAACTAAATGCTTCAGTCACTTTACCAACGTTGGTATATCGGCTGTAAATGATTTTATCACGTATTATTAATTATATAAATAACGTGGCAACTGTTCAAATACATTCAACATTTGAGATAGGTTCTAGACGTCCTAAACGGCAGTCCATACATGTGCCTTATTCTTTATGGTGTTTAATAAAAACAACCCATGTAACTTATGCATTACTCACTATTCATGAGAGGATATTTTTCCATGCAGCCATATGGACGTCGACCTTTATCTAAGCAGTCCAAAACATATCTCGAGATTACACAATTGTCAATTATCAGTTACGTCCATATCATTATTCTTCTATCAGTCTATTTTTTGGAGGTTAGAATTTGGATGAAAGGGATTGTTATATTTTAGATTCTCTGGGTGGATTCCGTGGATAATACATTTACCCTTCAGTCGCTATGTCCTAAAAGGGAAGAAAGTCTTAACAGAATAGACAGAAATTGTTATTTATTTTGCCCAATAAAGGAATAGGTGGGAAGATATATATTTAACGATTTAAGTGACATATATTCAAAGCTACAGGTTTGTGTGAAATCTGATTATAGAAGGTCAGATGTATTTAGCACATGTTGAGCCCATTTCTATTTATTCTCGTTATAAATGAGTTAGTTGGGGTTTAAGCAGAGGGCTGCTAGAGGTAAATATGTTCTTGAAACAATTGTTACTGTCAGTTACAGATGATCTTCTTTTGATAGATCTTCTCTGTGATTGGTTTCTAAATGAAAAAGGGATGTTTCTGTCTATAGTTTGAAATGGGGATTAGAGAATGATAATAATGGCTGAGACTGAAAAGAAAACTGTGACTTATTATGAATATATAGGCATTATCTTTTCTTCGTGGTTAATGGGGCTCAAAGTGTATGAAACTATGACTGTACAAGCTAAAGAGACTAGCTGTAAACTCTATAGTGTATTAAGAACTTTGCTAGCTGCTATTGACCTCTGTCAAAATATTGTTTCCTAAAAACTGCAACTGCCTACTATCAAAACTCGAAAATTCTATACTACTTGTTCATGTTTAGATGTCTGCAGAAATTGTGTCCATCTCAGCACACTTTACATAAATTCAATAAAGTGAGGAGGATGACTTCAAAAATAAATAGCCTGCGCGGATTTGATATGGCACTTGACTTGTTGACACTCATTTCTGAGTAATATTTTATTACTATTTTAGACTCCACCCAAATACCCAACTCAAAATGTAAAGAAACAACCTACAAAACAAGTTATTGTACTGTTTCAAAGCAGTCCTAAATATCTAAAAAACCTCCTTCATGCTAAAATACAATTATTACGGACGATTGTCACTTTCATTAATAGATTCTTTCTATCTCATTTTATTTTATGTTTATGTAGCGCTATGATCATGCATTCGAATTTAACACATATTTATGAATGATAAATATACTAAATCAATCTGTTCTCATTCAAGAGTGGATATGACATTTTACCAACATTCATCTTCTAATTAGTGAGACGATAATGGACGTAATTAACATTAATTGAATCCCTACGCTCATCCCCAGTTTGTTTGCCCTTATATATCTGGTGTCTAATACCTTTACCCGACTGCATATTCTTTGGATTCAAGATGACCTTATCAAATATCAGGTAAACATGTATGTCCACGTTCATCCATCTAACCCTCGTTTGTTGAAATATGGATATTGTCATAAATGTACGAGCCTACATCACACAAATGCATTAATTTTCTAATTTGTTAAAAATGGCAATAGGAGGTACATTCTGGTAAATGTCTCAAAATAGTTTAGGCATAACGTGTATGATGTTTGGTAAAATAAATATGATGATTGTATTGTGCCTCTTTCTTATATATTTATGTGTTGATAGATAATGCACATTAATGATATTTGTATATATGGACTCTTTCCATACGTTTAAAATCAGTGAAGTAGCGAATCTCTGTGATGACGCAATGCATATCGCGAGCACCTCCTGTCACTTTTGAATTTTATTGTTACACGCATGAAATTTTCATTACTATTGTTACGCCTTATGGAAACTGTTCAAAGGATCATGAAGGGCAGTTATTCTCTGGCGTTGATGTCATGTTATGATTCCATAAAATATTTTTTTAAAATGAAAAAAAGATGTCATGTATGTTTATAAGAGCTGGGTGTAATGAGATAACGTAGACATGAGGTTAAACATGTCATGTTTGAGAACCACCGACCTTCCGCTGAATGTAAAGACGCTCTATCCACTACATCACAGTTAAGAAAGTGTTACCTGGTTTAATATGTATGTACACCGACACCACAATTCCTTGACGATGTTCTCAATCTCCAGTTTCGTTCCACTTTACATTCGTGGCTATGTGATGTTTGGTCAATACTTTAAATAGAGTATGTGTCTAACATCACAGAAGTATTACAATACATGGATGAACAAGTAACATATGTTATATTTGAGATTACACTTTCTTAGTACAGTACAGATTCTAATACTTTTGTTGGGTTGAGTCCCATCCGGGATTCGAACCCACAGCCTCAGAGTCAGGCACCTAATCGCCAAACCAACCTAACAAAAGTACTAGAATCTGTACTTTACTAAGAAAGTCTTATCCCAAATAAACATTGTTAAATTTGAGTTTGACCCGAACTCAGCAATATTCTAAATGGCGATTGTCTGTATTCATGGATGAACAACTTCATTGAGCATCGATCTTCGTGAAAGTAAATCATGATATCCATATATCGTAATCCTTCCTTGCATGCTCGAACCATTTTACTAAATGCCTTTCATATATCGTTCCTGTGCTGCTCGAACCTCTATGCCTCTCACATCACTGAGCAGATCAAAGTCACTGAAATCAGATATAAATATTAACACAAAACACTAAAATTAGAATACAAATGGTTGTCTGGGAGACAAATCTTTGCTTTATAGAACTAAAGGGCTAAATATTTGTTGAAAATACAAATAGGGGCTCGTCCGTAATGATGAACTCAACCTTTTGTATCCGGTTGGTGCTTAGATGTCTAACGTGACCTCTTGTGCGGTATGGAGCGTGTAATTGATAAATTTCATTCATTTGTTCACATTTTCAAACTCCCACCCATGCTCCCCAGGGCAGTTAACTCACTTTCATCATTACATTAAATGACGTTTTGAACACTACA